CCTGTCGACGTTCTGTCCACTTCTGTAGGGCTTCAGTAATGCCCGGAAAAACATGCTCGCGTAAGTTCTATGTATGTTTTTCTGATCTATACATTCGATCTACATGTTCAACAGTCATGCCTTTCATAAGGGCGACTAACTGGTTCTTAAGATCAGTGTTTTTAGTAATTAACTTACTTATGCGCGATGGTTCAGTGGTCTCGGACGTAGATTCGGGTTTGCCACTTGAGCTTGCCTCCTCTTCTGATTCCGGTATAGGTACCTTCTGAGATTCGTCTTTGTCCCCTATGATTGGGGACTTTTCTTTCTGAGTTTCGTGAGAAGAATTGGTTGAGGCGTCTTGAGACGTGTCCCTTGTTTCACTTCTTGGCTTTGTAAATGCAAGCTTTGAAGTTGAAGCAATAGTTGGCCCTCGGGTTCTGTCTGTAGTAGTAGTATTCTTAATCGGAGTGGCTACATCCTTATCCGAAGCATTGTCCTGTTGACTATTATTGTCGGAGACAAGTGCTTCGGCTACGGTGCGATTAAACGCATCGGCAGCGGCGGCGGTTGCTTCTGTGGCAGCGCTAGCTGCTTCTCTCTCCATCTTCTTACGTTCAGCCTTGCGTTTCTTTGCAGGTGTATTGTCTTTCTTTGTCATAATCTTAACTTATGACTTCAGTCTTTTTCTCTTAAGGAATGACTGTGCTTAGGAAAAAGAATTGTGGTAGTTATCTACCTTTACGTTCAAGTAGTCTAAGTAGTTATTTCCTTTGCTTTCTTTAAAATGTGTAAGATTCGGTCTATCAAGGCGATATCAACGCCTTAGAGTAATTAAACGCTTAGGTTAAGTCAAAGTATCGTGGAATTCGACGTAAATAAACGAAATGAGTCTTTTGGTAAAGTTCGGTATGCCTCGTGAAAACAGCAATACTCTGAGACATTGTGAGGCTGAGACATTGCCTATATATAATCCTCTCAGTACTGTTTTCGCCGAAGGGATTTTAGTTAGTGTTTCGTTGTCGCTCTATTAGAAACTATGGTATGTTTCGTTGGGGCGAGTCCGAGAGACTCATAAAGTCCTATCTTTAAAAAAAAAAGAATAGAAAAAAGAAAAGTACTCTTGATGTCCATAGTTAGTGCATTAACCAATAACTTGCCACTTATCAAGAATTGCCGACTTAGCCTTCATCAGACTGGCACACCTGGTTGGCTGAATGGAGGTTAAACTAGGTAGCGCTAATAGTCCCTAGAAACCTATATTCGGTTGAGCCATCTCGCTAACGAAGTATTCAGATATAAATAGATTTGGAAAGTAAAGATAGTTCTATTAATAGAACTAGACCAAATCTTATGTTTGGTATTTTACTGGGGCCTTTTAATGGCCTTGTCCAAATATCTAATACGTAAAATGGAAAAGGTATTAATTAATAAAACCGTTAAAAACCATTTAGGAAACTTAAGTTCCTTGTACTATTAAGAGTACGCTTATAGTTTACGTACTGCTTAAGAGTACATTTATAACATAGAGTCTAATGTGGAGGCCCGGCTATTAAAGTAGCGCTGATTTGTCCATCATTAGACGTAATATGACATACGATGAGTGTACATCAAGCCATGCTAACACATATATGTGTGTCCTCTGTTGGAATCCAATAGTGGTCCTATGGTGTCCACTTGGACTCTGTTGCCTTGAAAAGCGGCTGTGATTGATTGTAAGGGATGAAATCCCTTTTGTGTATCTTATTTTTGAGACATGGTATGCATAGGCAAATGAACTTGTGTACATGTTGTTGGATATCAGGCCAATCATGTGCATCTGCTTGTAACTTGTAGATTGTTTCCTCAGGAGTTTAATGTCCCAAATTGTGGTATTGCTCGATGATGATGACAACACGTGTCTCGTATTCTGTTGCCTGTGGGGCATCTTCAGAGTGAACTGGTTCTGATGCTGCAACGTGTATGGCAGGTCGGGTTGTTTCCGCGTTGAGATAAACTATGGAGACTTCACTTCTATCTTTGCGACTAATATGACACCCCATGGGGTCTTGCCACAAGCCTTTTTGCCTTCTTTGAGGAAAATATTGTTTGTGTTTTCCACTAGCATCGAACTTTGGAAACCACGTTGCATTGGGGTAGTATGGTACACATATCGTGATGCTGATTGCCTCTTTGCTGACTTTGACAAGGACATCAGGTATGAGTTCCCATGGTTGGTTCGTCAATGCATTCACTTTCTGGGCTCATTTTTGTTGTAGCGCATTCTGTTCTTTGGTGCAGTATTTATCTGTGTGTGCATTGTGTGCCGATACAAACAGATCCCCCGTGAATTCCCCAAATCGTCGTTCAGTTTCTTGGTAAAATCTGGGGTGTAGCATTCAGCCTGTGGCTGATTGTACTCTTGGCTATCATTGTATTGTATCATTTGCTTCTTGTAATACCTTTGAAGTTTATTGAAAATGTCTTCATGTAGACGCGACAACATGTCTCCCATCTGATTGACCTTGCCTTGGACATGTATGATGGAGAAGTGGTGGTGGAATGTTTTTGCTGTCCATTTGACTAGCATTGGGTGTAACGTCTGTTGACTGTTCATTAGCGTGAGCGCTTTGTGATCGGTCCACAGTGTTATGTTCCCCCTATAATGTATTCGGAGAAATGCTGCAGGTTGTATACCAATGCTAGTAGCTCTTTAGTATTGTACTTTTGAGAAATAGAGAATATCTCTTCTAACTCCATCGATTACTTGAAATAAACATTCTTCTATGCTTGTTAGCGTGCGATGTGGGGGAGTATAAGTAAAGTGCAAATGTATCTAAAGAATGACATTATTCTATGCTTGTTAGCGTGCGATGTGGGGGAGTATAAGTAAAGTGCAAATGTATCTAAAGAATGACATTATTCTATGCTTGTTAGCGTGCGATGTGGGGGAGTATAAGTAAAGTGCAAATGTGTCTAAAGAATGGTGCGTTCGAATGAATTTATCTATGATCTCACTCTCAGTTATATACTCATGGTGTTTGTACTAGTGTTCAATCACTTGGGTTGGCCAGGGTTAAAACCCATATGATCAGTATGAGAAACCTTACGCAGATCACTTTAACACTCGGATATATTTTCTAGAAATAAATATATCATATTATCTGCTACTACACTCAGTCTCGGACCTCGGCTTTCGGCGAGCCGGTGGCCCGTGTTCTATATATAGAAAAATTTGAGAAGAGGTCTCAAATTACTCTTAGGTTCTCATAGGCTGACCCACCTATACGTATATTAATTTGAGAACAAGTCCCAAACTACTCTCGGGCTGACGACGTAAATTGTTGTTAACGTATCTAGAAATACGTCTACTTCTTTAGTCTCTCAACGCCGCAGTCACTAGCATCATTCATTATTTGAAACGGTACCCCATCGACAGGGTATGCTAGTGCCGCTGAACATGCGATGGCTTCTTTGAGTTCTTCCCACTTCTTTTTGAGTTCCGGAGTCCATAACATGGATATGTTCTGGTTCATTTTTCCTTTCATAAGATTCTGGAAGTGTTTCTTTGTGTGGGCAAAGTTGGGGACGTGGTCGCGCATGTAATTTGCTAGTCCCACCGTTTTGTGCAGATCTCTCTTTGTTCTGGGTAGTGGCCAGTCCATCATCCTTTTCTGTTTTTCAGGATCTGCTTTGAGTCCTTGTGTGGTGAGTTTCACACCTAGAATATTGATCACTTTGACCGCGAAGGCACACTTGTTGTGGTTGAGTCGGAAGTTTACTCCATTCAGTTGTTTGACTACTTCATACATTCTTCTTCTGTAAGACTCGCAATGACTATGTCATCTGCATACACTTGCAATCCTTTGATGTCTATGAGCAAGCTTGTCATGACTCTCTGGAACTGTGCTGTGAGTGAGTGTAGTCCAAACGGCGCTGACTTGAACGAGTATTACGCTCCTCTCTACGAGAATGTGAAAAAGTGTTGGCTTGCTTCGTCTACTAGAAAATGGTGAAACACTCTTGTGATATCTAGCTTAGCTTCGAGAAGAATTGTGCTCCATGTAGGTTGTGTAGTACTTCCGTTATTTTTGGTAACATAAATTTGTCTTGTTCATATTGATAATTGATCTCACGTAAGTCTAGGCATGTTCTTACTTTCTTGAGGAGACCTGTATAGTCCTGTTCACCTGTTGATAACAATGGTAGATTCACCGTTATCGGTGTGGTGCGTTTGTATATGTGACCATCTGTAAGCCACCTTTGTACGATTTCATCTGTTTGCGGAATGTATATGCTAGGTACAAAATTGACTTTAGCGTGCCTCATTTGTCTGACGTTAACTTCATTTGTAGGTACTATGACTGTGGATCCTGGTAGGTTGCAATGTACGTCAGAAGGTATATTCGCATTGGTATCTAGAAGGTCTGTAGGTGACTCTTTGAATTCTTCTTGTTCATGCTCCGGGTCCTCCTCATGTGGTGTGAGGAGTGATTCCCATTTTGCATCTGTTGGTATAAGTGGATTAATTAATCCTGCTATGTATATACCTATGTATGGTAGAATATCCATACAGAGAAATATTGGTGCCTTCTTGTTTTGTAGATCCAATACTTCAAAACACTGAGAGGTTTTCCTATCTCGATAATTAATGTCACAAACTTCAGTTGATCCTGTGCGTTGAATTCTTGCATCTGTTTGTGCTAGTTGTATATAACCCGGTTGCGCTTTGACATAGATTTGTAGTTCTGATACTACACTCTTGTCCATGCATGAGCGTTGTGCGCTCGAGTCTACTAATGTATTGTATGTATTGCCATTAATTTGTATGTCAATGTGTAAACGTTGGTCTCGTGGTGCGGGAGGTAAGGATAAAGGTTGATAATTTAAATCATTTGCATTTATTAACAACGTTCCTTCATCTGTATATACATTGAGCCTGTCAGCCAGGTCAATCATGTTCGCTTCCGCCCACCAGTTGTTTTAGTGCTCGTCACCTTCTGTGATGTCTTCTACCTTCCCAGAGGTAATGGACAGTCATGCTATTGCACATCCTTCTTGGCCCGCTCCTCAGCCTGTTTGGCTTGATTTCCTTTTTTCTTGGGACATTTACTGAACCGATCTGGGGCTGGCAACACCAGACAGACAGTAGGGACATATACGCTCTTCACGTGCCCCTCTCTTCTCTTGTGCCTGTCCCACTGGCTTGTTTTGGTTGGGTGCACCGTTGTCCGGTTTATACCGTTTGTTAGCAGTGGTAGTGCTATTCTCATCTTGGATGGTTGTCTGTGCGTTTTGACGCTTGTTCTGCACTCGCAACTGTTCCCTCAACATTCGGTCTCCTTGCATCTTGGATGCCGCTCTTATTTTTGCCTGTCATAATATGAAACTTGGTGTGTTCTATATCTGACAAGTACCCTTCCCTTCCATCAGATTGCTTGTCTGCTCTGATTAGAGCTCCACCTGTGTTTGTTGTCCGTAGTACATAAGTGATTGGTACCTTAGTACTCTGAGGAGTTGGAAGTGTATGGGTTCCGTGTCTGAGTTGCGGTAACTCTCCTCTAACATCACCATTGTCTTATGCGCACGCTCTGTGCGCACTTCGACGTTCAGCTTCTTGTTCTGCATGTCATTGAGAAACTTCTCCAACAGATAGTCTACTGGGTAGGGCATGAGTCTGTCAATAATGATCCTATTGAATTGCTCAGGTTCCTTGATGCGCTTAGTCGTATGTTTCTCAGAATCTCTTAAGTTATTGGGTACTGACTTGGTCTTCTCCGTTGCATCAGTGGAATCTAATAGGTTTCTCGTTGGTGCTGGGTACTGACACAGCGGCATGAACTTTGCTACGAATAGATCTCTACATTGCGTAGTGAACTCTATGATGTCTGCACAATTTTCCATTCTAAAGTAACTATCTTTAGGTAGCTTGGAAAATTCTGAAGTCTTTAGTAGTTTTGCAAGAGGTGGTTCATTTATCTGGTCGCCTAAGCGTGAACGCATGAGCTCTAACTCACTAATGTATTGACTTTTTGTATGAGATCATCTTCATTATCGTCACCACAATCGTTGATAGCTATTTCATATCGTCTTCTGAGCTCCACATCCACGAGTGGCATGCGTCGTTTTGGCTGTTGGTCATGAATCCCTACCCTCATCTTGTGTAGCGTCGGTATAGGCACCGGTACTGTTTGTTCCAATTTGGATACAACCCTACTAACTAGGATGTAAAAATCCTAAAAACGCTTGTCTATTTCTAGACGCATTACTGAGGCTAGTATGGGAACTCCTCCAGGTGTAGATTGGTTTGACCCACTACCCGGGTTTGGTTCCCCTTCTGAAATATCCCCTGCACCATCTGTACCCATACCTTCTTCTTTATATGATGGTGTGTGGCTATTGCAAGTTATTAGTGAAGACTCTTGTTGCTTTCTGTGCGAATGTGCGCTTCACCCCCCTTATCTTGTCTAATAGCTTGTATAAAATAAATAAAATATGAAGTGTTTTTACTTACTATTGTCGTCTTATTTCTTTGCTGCACTTCCGTGTGAAGTGTTTACCGTATTGTGTGGTACGGTAGCTTATTACCTTGTTCTCTGTATTTATGAGGGTGTAAACAGTGTTTGTTAGTCAAGCTTATTCCGTCATATGAGGAATTACTTATGATTGTTCCGTCATATGAGAAATTGGTTTCTCATGTGATCTTAATGAGATGTTCGGTCTTTGTGACGTCACCGTGAAAGTTCGGCCCTTTCGACGTCACCCCTGAATGTTCGGTCCACTGAGGATGTGTGGTCTTGTACCGAAATTTCTATGTATGTGTGTGGTATCTGTGATGTTTGTCCTTATTGACTTTACCAGAAATGTTCTCTGTTTTACCACACTTACTTGATGTTCACGTTACTTTTGTGTTTATTACTTGTATGATGTCCAGTCCTGGACCAATTCGGTGTGCTTCTCAGGCTTCATTGTTGATCACTGTCTTGCGAATTTAGTCCGATCTCCTGTGTATATTGTGTGTGTTCGTACAACGAGATTTCGTTGACTCTGGATGCTCATCACCTTGGTGTCACTTCACCTTCTATTTTAGTTTTTATGAACTGTAAATGCGTCTAGTGTTGTGTGTGGAATGGTTTGTTCCTGCTCTCTGAATTGTGTTATTGTGATCTTTCTGTGATTCGATCGATCTTGGACGTGCTGTTGGTGTGTGTGTGGAATAAATTATTCCCTTGCCTCACCCATATCTGTCTTCATCTACTTCTAACTTGTTGAGGTAGTTTCGATCACTTCTGACGTTGTGTTTGTACTAGGTGCTTCCTATGTACTATTTGGAATGGATCATTCCTGTGTACCATTTAGGCGAGCGTGTCACGAAATGAAATGTTCCTACGCAATATCAGATGCTAGAGATTTGTGTCCTCAATTTCCTCGTGTATTTATGAATGATGTATTTGCTATTGTGTGTCACAATACTGTGCTTTCTTCTTCGTGATCTCATGAACTGGTTCGGTGCTATGTCACTTGTTTGACATTTATATCTAGTATGAAATGCTTATTTGTGGAATCTTGGTATCTGATGTCTTGTTCTGTCTTATAGCGCCTTGAAGTGTATAGTGTACTATCGCATGGCTTGTTTTTTTATAGTGTTTTATGAATACTTTACCCGCTGTTACTTATTGTGATTCAATCTTTGAAACTCCTTAATTAAATACACACTGACATTTGTTGTGATTCAATCTTTGAAACTCCTCAACCATTTGATTAATACTGTGCGCATCTGATTGTTCTTGAACTTTCTTGTTCAATGATCGAGTGTGTGTTATTCTATTGAGTAATTATTTTCTTCTCCTTAATTGAGAAAACTTGCTTCGTACATGTAATTAACTTGTCTTTATTGAGAATACTTCGTTGATGGAAGTTGCTTCATATAATTGACTTGTCAACTATGTGTCCTGATTGATCAGAAGCGATAATCTCCAATCTTGATATGTTGTCTATCTCTCTTCTGACCACTATCTATTCTTAAGCCAGTACAACTACTTAAATTAACTAGTTTTTGCTTTGTTACCCTTCGTCATTCCATGTTTGGACACTGTTGTGACAAGTGCATGTCTTTTCTAATGCAAGTAGATGCCTGAAACTCAGGCCTTAGATTTTGAGGTAGACGTTGGTTTCTTACTCATCTGTGTGTGAGAGAGAGCTAAGTTGATTCCTGTTACTATGTTCTGTCGTTCTACGTTAGACTTTTGAATGTAGTATATTTCTTGTACTTATTATTTCGGTTTTACTGGCGATTTTGCTCTTATCAGTACTGAATGTCTTATACTTACTTAGGTTGCGATCGAGTGTTGTGCTAACATTGAATACTACAGGCTGCTTGCGCGTGTTGTTTTTGTCTTTTAGTTAATAATTCACTGCTAGTTGTGTGCACAAATTCTCACAACTCGCTGTGTATAATATCATTGCATGTATTGTTATACTAGTTGTATATCTCGTGGTTTTTGTGCATTGATGTGCAGTGTCCCTAAGTTCAGTATATTTTCTTGTTCGAAAACTGCCTAAAAATCCCCAACATTGATTAATTAATCTATGTGACACTACTACATAATTTTACTCCCTGAGATACTTATTTGTTCACAATAAAGCTTATAACACCTTGTCACATGTCCAGCTTACTTCTAGAACACGTTCTATTTACATTGGTTGTTGTGCCAAGGTTCTTCTATCGCTTGAGTGGTTCCCCTCTTCTTCTTTCTGTCTTCCGCAATCTCAGGATATCGACTTATTTTTCGACTGTGGACCCTCTTTCTTATTCAGGTCCCCTTTGCTTCTCTTCGGCTTCTCTCTTTTATAATAAAGTTTATATCACAAACAGAGTTTCTTTATGACAGGAGTGTATTCTGCATCATCTCTCACACCTATTTCAGTGTGTTGGGATTCTTGTTGACTTATCTAAGTAAGAATATTGTCAAAAAATGTAGAGTACGGAGAGTGGCTGAAAGGTACGAGTCAAAGGATACAATAGACCTCTTCTCAAGTACAGTCATCTCAGCTAGGAAAGTCTCTAGTCTGAGAGAACCGGACTGAGACTTTATTTGTGTTTTTACTAGACTCAGGATTTACTCGAGTGTTTCTCTCACACGCGGGGTCCCGGTATAGCTTACCGGGTTTACCGCTAATATTTCTGATGACTAATATCAGAAACATTCCATTCCTACTTCCAAAACTCAGTATTTGATTATTATGGGATTTGGGATTTGGATTGGCTTTTTGATAGTCTAGTCCCTAGTTGCTACAGTCTGAAGGGATCTGACCATTTTGGCCTAACAAGTCAGAGAGAGATTCTCTGAATCCTTCTGGTTCATGCTCAGGGTCTTCTTTATGTGGTGTGGGAAGTGATTCCCATTTAGCATCTGTTGGTATTAGTGGGTTGATTATCCCTGCTAGGTATATGCCTAAGTATGGTACAATGTCCATACCAAAATAGAATTGGCGATTTCTTGTCTGGGAGGTCGAGGACCTCAAACCAGTTTGGTGTTTTTCTACCGCCGTAATCCATATCACATACTTCTGTTGAACCAGTGCATTGTACCCTTGCATCTGATGGTATTAGCTGTATGTAGCCAGGTTGTGCTTTTACGGATGAGTATAGTTTTGTTACTACACTGCGATCCATACAAGAGCGTTATGCTCCTGAATCTACTAGTGCGTTGTTTGTGGTGCCATTGATTTGTATGTCTGTTTGCAATCTTTGGTCTCGTGGATTAGGAAGTAAAGAAATAGGTGTGTACGCACTATCATTTGTATTTACTAACAGCGTTTCTTCATCAGTGTGTGCATTCACAATGTTTACCATGTTTATCATGTTAGTCCGACCACCAAGCTTTCCATAGATCTTCATCCATCTCCTGCATATTGTTGCCCATTTGTAATGGCCAACTGGTCGATATGGACGGTTTGAGATTGTTGCGCTGCTCGAGCTTATGCCTTTAGACGGTTGCTTTCGCCTTTGTTGGGGCACTTGCTGTACGCATGTGGTGAAAGGTTTGTACCGCAGTGTGGGCAAGGTTTTGGCCCTCGTGGTGCTGGGGTGTTAGTGGCCTGTCCTATGGGATGGTCTCTGCCTTGTCCTCCTTGTTGACCACCACCTCTTGGTGGTCCTCCCCTTCTTGGTGCCCTCTCCCCCTCCCTCCCCTCTGGGTGGACCCCCTGGAGGTATGTCCAGTCTTGGACGAGTGGCTCGCGGGTCAGAAACGGTTGCGTTTCTTGCTCGCTTGTTGTCACGCTTGCGATTAGCTTGTAATATGGTTGCCTGTCTAATCATATCTTCAGTGAGTTCATGAAATACCTTCTCTGAAATGCCAGACAAGTGTTCACTACTACCATCCGGTTTTGTTTGTGCTTTGATCAGTTTGTCTGTTTTTGCTTGCAAACTGTACATGACTAGTACTGGGTAACGTGATTCCTTGAGGGGTTGCTAATTATTAATGAACTCTCTCTCAGTGCCTTTGTAACGCTTCTCTAACTCAATCATTGAGCGACGCAACCGTACTACTCGTACTTCAACATTCATGCGAGTATCATAGAAGTCGTTGAGCCACTTCACTAGTAGATAGTCTACTGGAGTGCGACGCAGGTTGTCAATGATTAATGTATTGTAGTCTTCCACATCAGTGAATTCTTTCCAAAGCTGTTTGGAACTACGTATATTATTGAGTGCAGTACGCGGTATACTTCTATTGCGTCTGTCTGTCTGAGCAATTCTTGTACGAGTGATAGGTACTGTACCAATGGCATGTTTGTGCTCGCGAACAAGTCTTTTGCTACAGATACAAACTCAATCGTATTACGACAATCAGCCATGCTGACATACTTACCTGCTGGTCACTTAGGAAATTCACTCATTTTGAGGAATTTGTCCATCTCTGGTTCTGAGATTTTATCCCCTTCATGTGATCTAATTAGAGTTAACTCGCTCATAAAGCCACTCATCGCAATACACTCATCGTGATCACTTTTATCACAGTTCTTTATAGCTTTATTGTATAGCTCTGATAACCATTGATCTAAAACTGGTATCAATCGTTGGGTTGATGGTCATGAACTGCTTTGCGGAGTTTGTGGAGTGCTCGTATGTCAATGGGGTTCTCCGCTGTTTATGCATACAACTTGTCCACTAATATGTCTACAATGTAGAAGTTGCCGTCATATATGGTCTTGTCCATGACTATGTTGTACTTACTCATTGCTGGATCCAAAGGAGCTCTTGCTGGTGTGGGCTTATCATCTATGCGCATCCCTGTGTGAAGTGGTAGTGCGAGAAGATGTTTGTGAGACTGACATTGTGTTTGGTTGTACTGGCCTTGTTCTGGCGGTGCGAGTCGTGCTCTCCGTGTGTGTGTACGGCTTGAGCTCACTTGTGTCCGTAGGCTCCTTCGTGATGCTCGTGGTCGTTGGTATGGCGCAGACGTCATTGACTGTTTGGTATTTGGTTAATCATCATTGTGTCAGCCGTGTTGTATTTGTTTGTTGTACCCTTGGTATGTTATCTGTTGTTATTCTCTAGCTTAGATAAGCTATTGTTATCTTCTTGTAGACATAGATTAGCCCTTCCCTGGTGTTCACACACTTTCTGTTGTGAATTGTGCTACTTACCTTTGTGGTGGTATGTGTTGTGGTGTTCTGTGGAGTAGTTGTATGTAGTATCCTGCACTTGATCTGTTCAACTTGACGTTCTCTGTGACACCTGAGTTTATATGGAGTGTTTTCGGTTTTAGGGGATACACTTTGGTTTATCTTGGTCTATTGGTGCGTTTGTCATAAACCTGTTTTTTCTTGTAAACCTAGTGGTTGGTGTGTACAACTGTGGTATATGTTTTTTACTTTCTGTTTTTGATATGTATTCTCAGTCCCTTTTGCTATACCTCTTCGTAGAATAGTGTGTAGAATATGTTTTGGTCTCCTATTGAGTACCAAACTTGGTGTCTTGAAGTATGATTTGTGCTTAATGTCTTGAAGTATGATTTTTTCTTCAGTCGTTGTCTTCCACGAGTTAAAGGACCAGTGACGACTGTGTTCTTCCGAGTTTATTGTGGTGTACATACTTCATGTGGTGTGCATACTTCACTTCTCTGAGTTATTGAATCAATACCGAATGGGTCGATGTCGTTAGATCTTAGTGATGGGTTGTCACTGTATTGTGCTGCCTGCCAATGCTTCTTTTATTGTGTGAAGTTTAATTGCTTCTTTTCCAATATCGTGTCTTTCGATGTAGTATGTACATACCTGAACCGTGTCCGTAGTGTGTGTACCGTGCACATGAAGACTGTCTTTCTTGTTCTACGATGTTCAATGTGTTGTTGATATTTATTAATTCTATTGATAGGTATAAATTTGTCTCCTACTTGAACTGTGTACCTCTATGAGTAGTTCCGTTATCAGCTTGTTTTGTATACGATCTAGCGTAGTGGTATATTTGTGCATCACTTATGTTGTCTCTGACACTGGGACATTAAAAGTGGTTTGACGTTTTGTGTGCATCTGATTCGATGGCGATATTTATTCAGTTTTAGCTAGTGACTGTTCACTCTTGTATCAGTGTTTGTTAAGTCTTGCTTATCTAAGTGGATACTCATATCACTCACTCTTGTAGCATCTAGGGACCAGACTATCAAAAAGCCAATCCAAAACCCAAAACCCAGAATAATCAAATACTGAGTTTTGGAATTAGGATTTAAATATGTCTGATATTAGAGTCATCAGAAGTATTAGCGGTAGAACCGGTAAGCTATACCGGGACTCCCGCGTGAGAGAGAAACACAAAAGTAGATCCTGAGTCTAGTGAAAACACAAATAAAGACTCAGTTCCTCAGGTTAGGGACTTTTCCTAGCTGAGATAACCGTACTTGAGAAGAGGTCCATTGTATTCCATTGTCTCGTACCTTTCAGGAGCTCTCCATACTCTACATTTTTAACAATATCCATACCTATATAAGTCAACAAGAATCCTAACACACTGTAATAGGTTTAAGAAAAGAAGCAGAAGACACTCCTGACATAAAGAATTTCTAATTGTGAAATAGACTATTACAGAAGGAAGAGGCCGAAGAGAAGCGAGGAGATCTTGAAGAAGAAAGAAGGTCCACAACGGTAGGACAAGAGGACACCTTGGAACTCAGAGGAATAGGAGAAAGAAGAATAAGACCTCGGCACAACGTCTGAGGTAAATAGAAGTGTTCCAGAAGTAAGCTGGACATTTGACGAGATGTGATAAGCTTTATTGTGCACAAAGAAGTGTCTCTTTGAGTGCAAAAATTAGAAAAGTGTCACGTTGATTAATTCATCAATGGTGGAGATTTTTAGGCCATTTTCGAACAAGAAAATATACTGAGCTTTAGAGACCCTGCACGACAATGCACAACAACAGTGAGATACACGAATAAGACAAAGACATTACACATATTAACAAATGAGAAGATGTGCACATAATAGACACTTAACTATTAACTCAAAGACGAGTACACATCAGCAAATAGCTTGCGATGTTCAAGGGTAGCATAACACTCAATCACAATTTCAGAAAATAATAAGACATTTTGTTAAGACATTCTGCACTGAGAAGCTAAAATCACCAGTTAATCAGAAAGAATACATACAAGAAACACACTACAGACAGAAGTCTAGCGTAGAAGGGTCGCATAATAGGGATAATATTATTTATTTCAAAAATGGCAAGTATGTATGATACAATGTATGAACATATGGTATGGCTTTCATAGTCGCTGTAGTGGTTCAGGAAAGATTTGAAAATATACTGAGCTTTAGAGACCCTGCACGACAATGCACAACAACAGTGAGATACACGAATAAGGCAAAGACATTACACATATTAACATATGAGAAGATGTGCACATAATAGACACTTAACTATTAACTCAAAGACGAGTACACATCAGCAAATAGCTTGCGATGTTCAAGGGTAGCACAACACTCAATCACAATTTCAGAAAATAATAAGACATTCTGTGAAGACATTCTGCACTGAGAAGCTAAAATCACCAGTTAATCAGAAAGAATACATACAAGAAACACATTACAGACAGAAGTCTAGCGTAGAAGGGCCGCATAATAGGGATAATACTATTTATTTC